GTCCCAATCTACCAAAGCCTCAGTGACTAGACGTGTAAAATTGGTCTCATCATATTTTGAAGAGCTGAGCTAAAAGGATGTCTGTGAGCATGTGCCTGGGCCATGACACTGCTAAGTGTCCCTCCCCTCTGGGCTCACGGCTGCTCGCTCCCCCAAGTCTGAAGGGGTGAGTCAGATCCTCAGCAGATGAGATCAAAACAGACTTTGCAGCTCTCTGTCAGTGCTGGTGGCTGGAGGAAAGGGCGGATGACAGGGAAGGCTGGACAAAAGCTGAAGCCATGAGCCAAAGGATGCTCCTGACAAGGAGTTGCCCCTAGCAGCCAAGAGTGTCTTCACAGGAGGGCAGGGGGACAGCAGAGCCCAGAGTCACCTGGGATGCAGGCGTATCTGGAAACTGATGTTTCAGCTGGCCATGGGAAAGAAGCAGACAAGCTAAGGGGGGCTAGACAGATGGACAGAACCCAGCCCCAACTTCCACAGGAGAAAGGCAGGCAAATGGCCAGAGTCCAGAGAAAACCAGGGGCCACATGACAACTGTGTGCTAGGGCCCAAGCACAGAGAGGGAGGCCCTGTACACCCAGGGAGCTTCCAGACATTTTCTGTGGGGTCAGAAGCCTAGAAATTGCTCCACCTGCAGCAGAGGTGGCAGGTAGGTAAGTGGATGGGTGGGTGTTGGGACAGCGGGAGGACCTTGGTGAAGCACAAAGCTAAGGCAGAGACAAGGTGAGTCCTGAGACGCCCTCTAATAGCTCCACACTAGCAATACAGTTCATTTCCGATCCTACCTCCCTTTAAAGGCAATGGCACAAAGGATGGTGAACCCACCAACAGCCTGGATGGAACCCAGCCATGTCAAAGGATGGTTACTTTCCCTCATGTCTGCATCTGCTCCAGATGGCACTCTCCCCAAATCACAGAATCAAGAGCTTGGGGCTTGTCACCATTTCCACTGGTGAGAGCCGATCAATATCACTGCCATCTGAGTAATAGCAAAACAGTGCGCCAGAGAAATGAGCCCAGTGCTTTTCATACTGTACCCAGACCTCTTTGGGGGGCAGGCAGGAGAGGAATGCCAAATTCTCAGCGGGACTGAGCCTTTCTGGCTGATTGCCACAGTCAGGGGTGGGGAGCCCGCAAACTCCTTAATTCGTTTCTACTCAAACGAAGTTTGAAAAGCTCCCCATCTCCAAAAATAGTCCTTTTCAATGACTGTCCAAAAAATATATTCGAGGGTGATTATACCCACTCTCCTGACAGAGCAGGACCAACCCTCCACCTTTGTGTCTCCTCCTGCTGGTACCTACAGGACCCACGACAACAGCCCAAGAATCCTCTGGGGACTTCATGACTCATTGCTGTCTCCCCTACAGCAACCAGCACAGGGCTTTGCACACAACAGGCACATAGGAACAAGTGGACTGGAAGCAATCCTTCAACCGGCTTTAAAAACAGGGAAAATCTCAAAGTCAGACAGGTAAAAACCTACCTCTTTCAGAAACCTACCCGATGAACTCCGCCTCTGGTAGAAACCACTGGTACTCAACTTCCCTCCCAGGTTTATCTATCTGGTACAGGATTGATTATTTGGCACCTCTTGGCAATCCACATTTTAATATCTGAGGGCATTTCACATTGATATGCAGGAGCTGTTCACTCTCAGTTACCTCCATCTCCCCACAATGCCTGGAATTGTCTCAGTCACAGAAGTGACTCAACTCATGATCACTAAAGAGCCAATTTCATTTTTAATTTCTGAGACAACTCCAGGAGGGGAGACAAAGAGGACCAACATAATTAATAGACAGACTTGACTAATTTCTTTTCCAGCTAGTGAGTTGGGGAGCAAAGTGCCTCAGAACCCTACCTGGTTATAAAAGGCCCACACAGGCTGCTGGTTCTGTCTGCATCCACCTGTTTGCTTATGTCCAGAAACTGCCACCCTAACATTCCTTCCCTGTCCCTGAGCCACGTGCACTTTCAAATGCTTCTAAAATAGAAGCAGTCGGAAGAGCTTGTCCATCAACACAGCCCGTCGCCCCTTGCCCCCACCCCTCTCCCAAGGCCTGCAGATGCCTTCCATGCAATCAGAATCTGAGCAGAAAAGAGCTTTGGTGGGCTCAAGTTCCAACTCTACCTGGCTCATGAGTCCCACAGAAAACACCTCCAATATGTGATCATCTGTCCTTTGTTTTAACACTCCCTCCTGACAACCATTCCATTTCAGAGTCCTAATTGTTAGAATATTCTTCCTAGGGTTAAACTGGAATCTGCCTGTTGTGACTACCACCCATAGATTCTATTTCTGCCCTCGGGAGCCGTACATGATACATCTCCATGCCCCTTCCACGGGACAATCCTTTAAGGGGCTGGAGACAATATTCTTCACATGTCATCACATCAGAACGGTACTGTATGACTCTCTGATGAACTGGGAGCTGCACCTTCCTGTCCAACCGGATCAAGAGCCTCCCGCCGGCACAGCCCGAAGGTGATATATGCCCACACTTTATTTACCAGCAGACAGACAGAGCCCCTCGCTCCTTAGCCTGGTAACAAGCCGAGGTCGTTCATCACTCACTTGCTCCTTTTTGAAATTCACCAAGCAGTGGGCATCTCTTTAAAGCCCTGCACATGATGCATTTTAAAGAGCGTTTTCTGCACAGATCCATTCGCTCGACCTCGGCACCAGGTGTGAGGCGGAACCATATTTCAGTGTGGTCCTCCTGGAGCCTGTGTGGAACATACACTGAATGTATTTGTGACTACACATGGTAGGAGCTCTAAAATGCAGCATTTTGTAAAATGCGAATTTGCTGATTAAAATGCATCTTGCAAAGAAAGTGCATTATTAATGCAGAATCTAGTCCAAAAATATGTATTATGTAATGCACATTTTTTTAATAATGCAGGCAATTTTGGTGTATCTATATTAGTGGATCAGCTCTGGGCTGCCATCTCCATTATAGGCACAAAACACTCCTGAAAAAGGAAGTTCTTTCTGATGTGCACTAAAAAACCATCACACACCTAGTCACTGATGGTTGGCATTCGTCTCCATTGAAAGGGCATTCACTAGTACCCACATAGCCCTGATTTTTTCCCCAGTTCACCCTGAAAACCAGATGTCTTTATGTTCCATACACCATCAGAGGAGCTGTGCTAATTTAAAGAAATAAAGCAGGTGGGTCAAAGTGAGTAAAACCTTCAGAAATGTGCCCCCTCAGCTGGGGCTGAGAGATCAGAATTTGAGATGAACATCTCCCAACGCCCCTGTCCAGTGTCCCATAATAATACCTACATGATTATTGGAGCTATCCAGATACTTAATGATAATAAAGCCCTTTCAGTCTCGCTGAAAAACATTAGAACTAAGCATAACCAGGATGCAGACATTTGTTCTGAGGTCTGCCAGATTAATCCCACTTTGTTAAACCAACCCATATTTTAATACTACAAACTAACACAAGATGCCATATAAGGAACAGCCAAAGGCCAGGTCAGGAACATTCAAGAATGTCCAAAATGCAAAAAGAAAAACCTCAACACATCAAAAGCAGTTGCTAAGATCTTCCTAGGGTCTTAACTCCGGCTTGACAACATTAATACATTAATGCTGTCCCACCATGCTGAGTCACAGTTGTGGGTGCAAGACTCCTCAGCACCAGGTGACAAAGCCTGGCAGACCACTCAAAAGGGAAAACAGAATCACAAGAGCTCACACTTCTTCAAGCATCTCCCCTTAGTGACTCAGTGACAGAAAAACCATGTGTCCCAAGTGAAGCAACCTTGTCGATACTTCCCATGGATTCTAGGGAGACGGTTTTGCTGAGTTATATACCACCTTTGCACCTGGCCTAGGGCAGAGGGGGCCTTCCATGTTTTAACAGGAAGGTGGTGCACAACCCAAAACAGTCGGCTGGACTCAAGAGCCTCTAATGTCATCCTTTTCTGAGAGCAAAGACTGCTCCAGGGACCTCCCCCCTCCGCCAGTGGACACAGAGCTTATTTGATTCTCCAAGGCTGAGAAAGAGATGTACTGATTTACTCCAACTTTTTAGTCTTCATGCTCTAGGGGTATCTAGCCATCCCCTAACCCAAATGCTCTGGTTGATCCAGTAGTTTTCTCAGGCAGAATTCAAGTTGGATTCAACAATGTTGGTGGTTATGGAGGGATTCTGAGTGGTTTAATGCTCTGATTAACATCAGATTAATCCTAAATATCCTTTCCTTAATATAGGATTCATTCATTCATTTTTTTTTTAACTCTACTTTCAGCACCTAGAACAGAGCTTGGAACGTGCTAGGCACTCTAAATAGATATTTGTTGAATGAATCAACTTTGTTGCAAACTTCCTAGAGAGAGAGCTTTCAGGGGTACCACCTAAGGTTTTCTGGGTAGCTGATCACCCTGAAACACCCCACAGGGGCAGAGAGCCTGCTATACCTACCAAATATCCACACGGAAAAGACCGCCCTTAAATAGTGGTTCCTGCGAATTGAAGTGTCTTCCAGCACTATTCTCAGCTAGACCTCACTGCCGCCCACCGGTGGGTTTGGGGACTTACAAACCATCACCCGGTCTGTGAGGGCCCTTCATGGACTTGATGCTTATTTGTCCATGAGGTAAATTAAACAAATGTGACTGCATGGGGGTGTGTGATTTTTGGAAACTTTTCTAATTACGGCCGCTAGAACAGATCTGCGAAGGTGGTTTCATGATGAGCGAGTGCCTGAGGTTACCATCGCCAAACTATTAAGCCCTTGGAAAATGCCCAGGATCTGGCCCCTTAATACGCATACAGACCCTGTTTTCCGCGGAATATCTGCAATTTGCAGTTTGGGTTTTAGCAGCTCCTAGCTTTGCTCATTTTTTCAATAACCTCAGAGAACTTGAGGGGATGGGGGTGTGGGGGGGTACGGAGCCCTTGGAGAACCATGCCCAGCGGCCCACGTACGCTAACCTGTAGCTCGTTTGCTCGCTCCTTGGCACCCACCAGGGCCCCCGCCCCTGGATTCATCCAAATCCTTTCAAACAAGGTTCCCTCCTGCCACCTGCCGGCCCACTAGGGTCTAAGTCTCGGCACCACCGCGCAGCTCGCGGGGAGGCGCCCCCACTTCCGTACTGCACATGCCCGTCAGAAGTCCGGGCGCGCAACTTTGCACAACCTCTCCGCCCAGCCCCTCCTCGCCTCAGTCTCCTCTTTCCTCTCCCAGGCGAGAGGACCAGCGGAGGCAGCTCTCCCCAGTCGGACTGCAGAGTCTGAGCCTTAGACAGGAGCCTAGGAGGAGACAGACTTTTTGGTCCTTTGCCCCATCCCTCCCCCCCAACCCCCCTTTTTTTTGGTGGCTCAGAGAGGTAAGCAGAGGCGCGGAGCTTTAGAAAGTTGAGTGGTCAGGAAGGTAGGTGCTCCCCTTTCTGCCCCACACTGAGGTGGGGCCGGGGACCTCCGGACCCAGCCTCTCACCTGGTTGAGGTGCACCTTTTTCGGCTCTAGCAGCCGATGCGCTTCGGAGCCGCTCTCTGCAGAGCCGGAGGGCAGGGCAGCTTCTCGGGGTGCGCGTAAGAGAATGGATCGTAGGTCCCGGGCTCAGCAGTGGCGCCGAGCTCGCCACAATCACAGCGATCTGTGCCCACCCACAGGCCGCCGGGCGGCCACCGCGCTCCTCTGGCTCTCCTGCTCCATCGCGCTGCTCCGCGCCCTTGCCACCTCCAACGCCCGCGCCCAGCAGCGCGCGGCTGCCCAGCAGCGCCGGAGCTTCCTGAACGCCCACCACCGCTCCGGCGCCCAGGTGCTCCCGGGGCCCCCCGAGGCTGACCACGAGCACGAGGAGGCCGACCTCGAGCTCTCCCTCCCCGAGTGCCTAGGGTACGAGCAGGAGTTTGATTACGAATCTGAGACCGAGACTGAGTCTGAAATCGAATCCGAGACCGACTTCGAGACCGAGCCCGAGACCGCCCCCACCACCGAGCCCGAGACCGAGCCGGAGGACGAGCGCGGCCCGGGGGGGCCCAGGCGCCCCACCTTCAGCCAGTCTCTCTCCCAGCGCCTGCACGCGCTGAGGCTGCGGAGCCCCGACGCGTCCCCGGGTCGCGCACAGCCCCGCACTCAGGAGCCCCAGAGCCCCCAGGAGGGGGAAGGGCCCGAGCCCGAGGACAAGGATCCGGGGGACCCCGAAGAGCCCAAGGGGAAGCAGCAGCGCCGCTGCAGACCCAAGAAACCCACCCGCCGCGACCCGTCCCCGGAGTCTCCTTCCAAAAGGGGCCCCATACCCATCCGGCGTCACTAATGGAGGACGCGGTCCAGATTCTCCTTGTGTTCTTTGGCCCAGGTTGGTTGACCACCGCTAAACTGGGGGGGGCCGGGATCGGTGTGGGAGCGGCAGGAGGAAGGATAGGAGACGGAACTGTAGGTTAGGAAGCAGGTGGTCAGAGTGGGCTCAGCTGGCCAGCCAGGGAAGCGGGGGGCCAGGGCGGGCTGGAAAGGGGTCCCCAAGTCTCCTCTGGGCGCCGGAGGTGCCTGGGTGGCCAAAGTCTTGTTGGACGGCAGGGCGCTCCTCGCGCCGGGCTGGAGACAGCCTGAGGACGCCAGGCGGGTGTCCGGGACGCGCGACTGTAGCCCGAGCCCGCCCCACGTTTCCAGCCGCACACCCAAAAGGCACAGGTAAGTCACTTGTTTTATGCGCTTTTTTTTCCCTCCTAGGGAGGCTAGTCTCAAAGAAGATGGCCTTGGCGTGCGCCCGAGACGTAGTTCGGAGGTGCGCGCGCCAACTTTCACAATGCCAGAACCACCGCGCTGTAGCAACACGGTTGCAATGCGCGAAAAGTAATCAGACCGGGATTGGGCGAGAACTCCGGAGGCTGCCGGCTCCCGGGAAAGGTGCGCGCGCGCGCGGCGCTTTAAGACGCTCAGAGCCTGGAGCCCAGGTCCCGGCGCTGCCAATTTGGAGCCGCAGGATCTCGGCGCCAGTGTCCCCCGCGATTGTGCGCCAGTCCTGGTCGCCACCACCCGCCTCTGGGTGCTCCCAGGGCCAGAAACCGCAGCAAAGAGTCGTACGCACCTGCTCACGCGCTCCAGAGCCAGTCTCTCCCGGCCGGCCGGCAGTTCCTCCCCCAGTCGCCCATACTTGGAGGGCAGGCAGAGGAGGTACGGGAGTCTTGGGGGTGCCCTTACAGATTAGCAGGGTTGGTGGATTGGTCTGGGTCACGTCGGGGCATCGCTAACCTTTTGGCGCAGCTGGTCTGGCAGCAGAGCTGGGCGCAGCTGGTCTGGAGAGGTCCCGGGCTGTTTGTGCAAGGCCCTGGGGGTGCAAGAGCGGGGCTGAGAGACCCGCGAGGTGGTCGCGCGCATGAAGGTAAAGCGGAATAAGAAACTGGCTGGAGAGGGGGTCGCGTTTATCACCAGGACACCCTACAATGCGTCCTCAAAGAGCGCGGCACGGGCCGAGCTGGGGAAAGGTGTTGGATCCGATGCAAGTCCTTGGGCGACCGGTAGAGAGGGGGCAGGGGCCGGCGGCTTCGGTAGCCTAAGGGAGGGGAGGAGGCGCGCACCGGCCATTTTCAGCTCGGGTGCAGAGAAGTTTGGAGTCTGTAACCTGGTGGTTTAAACTGCTCCGCTGTCCAAGCACATAAACTGCCGCAGTCGGGTAATGCATCTTGGGGGCGGAAAGGGTGTCTTTCTCGCCAGTCCTGGAAGAAAAGACTGGTAAGTGAAATGCATTACAAAACCTCACCCAATTTGGAAATCGAAAATTTCTTAGTGCGTGCGCGTCTTGCGCGGATCTGAGCTATGCCGGTGAGAATGATTTGGAGGGGGCGGGGGGAGTGAAGCGCTTGAGGCGAAAAGTCGGGTCGCGTTCTTAGACTGCTAAGAAAGGGATGCAGCCAAAGGGACCACACTTTACATGGTTTTCCTTCCAGGTCTCTTCCCTAGGAAAGGCTCGCAGCGCCCCAGAACTTAATTTTTCCTGGGCTCCAGCGCTGACTAATGACTGCTGGATGCATGATGGTCCTCACCAGTAAATAGTGGGAGGGCAGCTTGTTAGCAAGGGGCTTCCCTGGGCAGCATGGATGTATCAGAAATATGGAGGCTGCCCAGGACGTGCAGAGAGGCCAGGCATGCCCTGCCTTTGGCTTGAAAGTGTGTCATTGCCTAAATGAACTAGAGCACCCCAAAGCTGAAATTTGTACATGACGTGAACAGTGATGCTATGTTCCTTTCTGTGGCTTTAAGTGTTCTGCTTTTCCTCTGGGAATATCTTAGCCTCAGTTCACCAAGTAAAATGTCTCTAGTGGGCAGGTGAAAGAAGCCAGGGTTTTGGTTGGCTTTTTGGGTGTGCTTTTTGGTGTGGAAGCCATCTTACAGGTTGGGTGGTCTGGGGAACAGGTTTTTTCATTAGAGAAATTAGCATATTGCCTTGTTGCAGGTTGAATAAAGTGTTTAAAAAAAAAAAAAAAGGGTCCTCAGTGCCTAAACTGCAAGCTTGCCCTAGTCTTGGTCTGTTTCCTTAAACAGATGTCTGCCTGTTGGGAGAGGTGAGGGGGGGACACAGCACTCTATTTCTTAATTACAATATGCCAGGGTCATTATTTGGTGGGGGCAGGCATTTAGGTACATAAATACTGTGCCATCTTTACTCTTCCATAAACTACCTGATTCTGAAAACCTGTTCCCCACCCACACATACCCTCCCCCACTCAGTCCCCTCCCCCAACTTCCCTCCGGGACGGAAAAGCCTTTAGGGACCATACAGCTGAGGAATGTATCAGTGCCCTGGGGAAGTGCCCAGCACCCACCCAAGCAAAGGGCATTTTACTCCATAGACATTTAAAACCTTTCTCCCTGAGGCTGCTTGCCGCCTTTCTTTTCCAGAGACATTTTTGGCAAGTTCTCCAAGCATTCCCAACTCACTAGTCTCCCAACTGGCCCTTTGTCTCACCCTGCTAAACTGGGGTTAGCATTTGAATGGGCTCATTTGCCCTTTCAACTTGGGTAGGGTCTGTCTGGTGAGAAAATTTTCTCAAAAAAACACATCTTAATAGTTGACCACACAGGTGATCTACCAGCCAGTTAAAATATTTCAAATGGAGAGAGAGAGTGGAAGAGCAGGATAAAGCTAGTTCAATGTAATGGCATGCTCCAATATTTTGGATTTTTTCCTTAACTACATTAATCATCTGCTTAATAGAAACTTTTTCTTGCACAAAGGTGTTCTTATAACTCAACTTTTTGAGTTGGAAACTCATATAGCCATGTTCACATATTGTGTGGTGTCAAAAATTTGGCATATGTTTACTTCTAACAAAACTTTAGTCTATGCTTATCAGAATTCAAGAATTGGAAATTTTAAAGTTGGGAACTGTTTTCAGATGTTTCTTTAATGCACTAGAAGCTTCTCCCCTGGAACTGCTTACAGCCTTTCACTCTATGCTGACTTTTAGCATCTGTGATAGAAGGTTTAATGGGGAAGAAAGCTGACACTTCAGTGTTGATAAGAATTAGGTCTTCCTTTTTTTTCCCAGTAATCTACATGGGTTTTCCTTCATTCATCTGAGTTATCACTGCTCTTCATACAGAGGGAAGCTACTGAAACAGCAGAAAACATGGTGTAGGGGAAAGTATGTCTCTTAACAGAAAGGTGACCTATAACAAAAAACACATCACGAAAATCAAATTAAGCTTCCAGAGGCAAGTGATGTCATATGCCGGCAAGTGCTGGCCTTCTCGGGGAAACTGCCCAGCTAAGAGGATGAGAGTCTCACATTACATTTTTAATCTCCATGTTCCAGAGGGAGGGATGGAATTCCTAGTCCTGCTCTCGGGGTTCTGACACTAATGACTCCTTTTCCTAAATACTGATGCCCCAGAGAAGGGGTAGCAGGATCTAAGATCTAAGGATCTTCTAGTCCTGTCCCTGCCCAGTGGTCTTGGGTCAGACCCAGCCCCACTCTGCCTCAGTTTCTTCACATGAAAAATGAAGCAGCTGAATGAGATGTTCCCAGCATCCCTTTCAGCTCCAAATTCACGTCAGTTGATTAGTTTCACAAGCCCAGAGTTGCCCGATTTGACTCTATCAATGATTTTTAACACTAATGGAGCCAAAAAATTTCAAAGGTTTATCAAATAAAAAGCACCAGCTGCGAAGAAATCTGTCTGTGTTGATCTAATCTCAATCTTGTCAAATCTGTTTTTGAGTTGGTGGCAAAAACGGTTTAAAGAGGCAAGTTAGACAACAGAGAATTCCACCACGTCCTACTATGAACCTGAAAATGAACTGGCCGATCCTTCAGGGCAGATACTTGGTGTTTGTCTTCGGCGTGCTTGTTCCCCCACCCCCACCCCACCCCACCCCACCCCACCCCCTGCTCTCTCTGATCTAGTGTCTAAAAGCAAGCTGTTCAGAAGGGTGGGAGCAGGCAGCACGGAGCCAGTACTGCAGCCTGGGAATCCTAGCCGCTTGGGAGACAGCCGGCTGCCAGCAACACTGCTTAACTACCCACAAGTGTTGAATATGTTATTTGCTAACACTTGCAAGTGCCCTGGTTAGGCTAGACCGGAGAACTATGCCCCAGAGGCTGCAGCTAGTTAGGATAAACCAGTTTTCTCAGCTTTTTTTTCCCATTATCACTCCCTCCCAGGAGCCTTTTTTTCCTTAATTGCCCCCTCCCATTAAATTTGAAGACCATGGTTATACAGATAAACTGTGTATCTGCTTCTGTACTGCAGGACCTTGTAATAGCTAAGAGTTTTTTGCACTCCCCCAAACCAATTTTGTCTGTTGTAAATGCAAAAGAAGACAAATGTTAAAAATAAAAAAAAAAAGTTTATGTCAAATTAAGTGTTTTAACATTCCATTTTTGTTTTATACTTTAACCTTTTTTGGCCACCTATCACAGGGCTGTATATAAGGAGTTTTACTGATGTTTGTTGTCCCTTTTTAAAATTTCACAGTCCCTCCTCCCCCCTCCCCCACAAAGGCCCTGGTACCAGTGCTGGTGCCTAGTTAATTCGCGTAGCAGGGCAGCCATAGTATGAGACTAGTGGCTTGGTTCTCTCAAAGCCCAGAGTCCGCAGTACAGGACCACTGTCACCTGCTGACAGTGCTCAGCCAGTAGAGGCAGGACATCCGAGAGGAGCTGGCGCCAGGATGCCCCACACCCCTGCTTGCCCACAAACTCCCTACTCCAGGGTGGAACTGGGGAGGCTGCCTTCCTGGCTTCACATGCAAACATGGCCAATTTTTGTTTTCTGTGGGTTTAGGGTCAGCCCATCACAAGTTAACAGGGGCCACGGCTATCAGAAAGGCCAGAGTAAGAC